TTGAAGGATTCATTCTCTTTAATTCGAATCATGGTTCATAGTTTATTATACTATTTTTTCTTATAAAAAATACATGTAAATTGAAAATGGTTCTAATCTCATGGTTCTAATTCATGAACCAAACGGGCTACCACATGTCGTTTTCTAATTGTACTGAGGGAGAAAGGTAGGGCCCATCTGCTGCGATGCTGACACGTCTGTTCCTCCCCACTCGCTAGACGCGAGGCTTTCTGCGCGTGTATTTCACGCTCCCGATCAGAACCGTTGGTCTTCTTGATCTAACGGCTGAAAAGAATTTTCGTTTTATTTTTTAATTATTAATTTTGAATTGATTTGTGGTCTGATTTTTATCCTGTCTTAACACCGTTTTTCAACAAATTTTTAATACTATCCAGATAAAAATATTATAAATAAATTTAAATAAAAATACACTAAAATAAAATAAAAAATTTTAAAAAACAAAAATTAATTTAAAAGACAATGAAATTATTAATAAAAAAGGTCATTAACAAGACAAAATAACACTAATTTAAATAGACAACAAAATAAATTAAAACAATTTGTATAACTGTAATTTTAAGAAATTTTTTATTTAATGTGAAGGATAATTTAGATTTTACCTTAATGATAAGATTTTTAATTTAAAATAATTTTTTATTCTTGCATATAGAAAGGGCATTTTTATTAACATTTTAAAATTTGAGAGGTGAATAGCTCACTTTTTATAAATTTAGGAGGCAAAGTGATTACCATTCGGGGGAAAAATAAAATTTGTCCTAACCTTTTTTTTGTTTTATTTCACTAGTTTTACTTATAGTGTGGTATGCGAAATTAATGTGTTTTTGACATAGGTTGTGAAATCGGGGCAAGCAAAAATTTCGAGTATACGTAAACAAGAACAAACCGGAGGTGTTAACCTTTTTTTTCCCTCTCACTTGGCCTTTTTTTATTAGCGTGACGTTGTTTTTAAGAATATGAATTAAAACAAGTTTTTATTTAATTAATAAGAATGGTAAATTTGTCATTTATTATTTTAAAAGGACCTCAACATAAGAAAACCGATTTCTTAAAACTTTTGAGGATTATTTTCATAAATACCCTTCGAACTATATACTTTATTTTAAAGTGCTTCTCAATTTTTTAAAATAATTCAAAACACCTTTTGATGTATAAAAAATAGATTAAGGCTTAGTTTAGTAGTGCTGTAGATTTTAAAAAAATTACTTTTAGCTGTGCTGAAGGAATAAGCAGTTGTTATAAAAAGCAGCAGAGTGTTTGGTAAATGATAGTTATACTAGCTGTGCTGGTTTCAAAATCAGTGTAATAACGTTTGATAAATTATGTGGTTGAATTGCTATGGGTAGTTAAAATGACCAAAATAGACATGGTATGAAACTTAAATATATATAATTATTTTTGGTATTTAAAAATACTTGTTTAACTTAAAAAAGAAAAAGAAAAACATAATGCTTGTTTAACTTGAAAAAAAAACAAATTTAAATAAGAAAGGAAACATATAAAAATTTGTTTGTTATTAAGAAATACTTGTTTAAATTAAAAAATAAAAACTTGATTTGGTGCTAAGGTATCTAACATTAAATTTATAATAGTTTTTTTTTTCTTTTTTTCATTGACAATACGTAGTTAAAAAAAAAAGAGCATTAGTTAGTAATCCACATATACAATCTAATTTATCATAAAAGACTAAATAAAATATACATTTTACTCTCAAAATTGTGGTAAATTATCTTTCTCCTTTACATTTTAAACTTGCTTCAAGAAGAGGACGTTTCCTATTGGCAATGGGAGATCGGAACAATGTATCTTTTGAGCAAAACTACCATCACTTCCCACCCAGAGTTCATACTTGTCTTAATTGCATCAGCAAGTCACGAAGTGAGCATTGCCTTTGTAGATATCCAATCTAGAACTGAGTAGAGCTCATTATCCAAATCAATAATTCCATTTTTTTTAATTCTCTAAATGACTCCACCCTTCTCATTATTGTAGGCCACATAATCACCAGACTCAATGTAAGTAATTTGATCTAACAAAGAAACAAATCCAAATATTAGTGATCAATATTCTTATCTATATACCTTTTTTCTTTTATAATTATGCTCATCTACACACATTCCATCAACAAAAAAAAAAACTTTATGCTAAATATATAGAGAACAATAGAATCAAGTCAAGTGTGCAAAATATCCATATTGTTAAGTTCTCTAGAAAAGCTTCTCCATGACATTTTTTACAAGCTCTACACCTGAAAAACTTTACAAAAGGGAAAGAACATTCACACAACGGAATTGGATAAATCCTAGCAAGTTCTTAGAAGTGTACTTTCATTAGAGGCATTGAAGGAAGTCAACTTTTTTCATCACACAAACAAAAAACTTTTCCCAACTTTGTGTTTTTTTAACTCATAAGGGTACCAAATTCTATTAAGAGTTGAAACCATATGCAAACATTTGCCATTCCATGTTCATAAGATAATAAATTCAAGTAGTTTCTTTAGTAGAGTAACACAAATTGATCATAGAGACAATTTTTAACCAAGATCTCTTTTTCTAAAGTAAATATCATTGTGAAATTTCAAGCCAATATATATATATATATATATATATATATCATTGTGAAACCAATTATCACTATTCTAAGTTCAACAAGCTAGGTTAGATTGATAACATCCCAAGTGCAAGTCCTCCAAAAGATTCAATATTTTTATTCGTTTCGTCCAAATTAACCAAAATTATATCCAAGAGAATTAAAAGAAAAAGAAAGAACATGATTGCATTCACAAAATTCAACATGTCATTTTGAGTTCAACAATAATTTGGCGCCGGAAATTCATTTTATATAACCATTTACAAGCCAATTCTCAACCAAGAAATCCGACACAATCCTAATTACATCTAAACATGAAAAACAGAGAAATAACATTAAATTATGAAAATACACACACACACACATACATATAAAGAAACGAAGATTGAATGTTTAGTATTTTACCATAATCTGGATAAACAAGATTGAAATCCAAGTAAAAAGGAACATTGGCGAATCGGAGGTACCCGCCAAACCCACACCCATGCCCACACAACAACGACGTCGTTTCCTTCTCCTCTGACCAACTCAGGCAGGAGCCGGTCATCACAGTCTCTCCCAAACAAACGAAATACAGAGCAGAGAAAAACAAAGATTTTTCCCAAAATCCATCAATCCAGAGAATAAAAAACCAAATCGACATTCAATACGAAACTAAATGGAGTACTTACAGAGGCTATTGATATGATGAGCTCCAACCGGCAATCCGACGGTGTCCAACTGGTCCGAAATCAGGTAACCTTAACGAGAATAACCCCAGTCTCACCGAAAGAACACATAGAGAGGAGAGACTCCGCCTCGCCGAAAAGCGCAAGAACAACTCAGAAATGGAGAGAAGGGAGTCCGAGAGAGCAAAGTGAGAGAAGAGAGAGGAACAAAGAGAAAGCTTTGCCTGAGAGAGAGCACGTGAAAAGTAAGAGAAAGGAGAGTGCAAAGGAGGTGAAAATTTGGGATGGAGATTTCTTCCATTCAGCAGGGTTAATTTAAGAAATAAGAAAAATTTCATTAAATGTAGCAATGGATTCCCGCATAATCTAGAATCAGAAGCAGCCCAAAGGGTGCTTCTGATTTTGAGCTCAAATTCCACACAAATCTTTAAGAAGCACTTTTTAAGGTTTTTACCAAACACAAAAAACAACTTTAGCCAGGTAGAGAATTGATTTTTGGCTCCCAAAATCTATACCAAACCCACACGGCTCCGTTCTTTTCGTTAATTCGAGTTTAGAATTCAAGTTTTGTTACGGTAAAAAGCTCTCAGAAATAGTCACATCTAACTTTTTTACTACAGTAAAAAGCTCTCACACAACATTACATCTCAACTCGAATTAAAAACTCAAATTAGCGAACCGAACGGGCCCTAATCACCCCTACATCTAATTTCGTCTATAAACTTAACGAGATAATAATAACGTGGCATGACATTAAAAGTGTAGAATAAGGCCCCGTTTTTTTTCGCTGATTCGAGTTTATAATTCGAGTTTTGCTACAGTAAAAAGCTCTCAGAAACAGTCACATCTAACTTTTTTGTTACAGTAAAAAGCTCTCACACAACATCACATCTCAACTCGAATTAAAAACTCGAATTAGCAAACCGAACGTGTCCTAAGTGTAGAATAGACATTTTAAAATATATACCTTAATTATTAAGTAAAAAACATTTTAACCTTAATATAAAATCACAAAAATCAAATAAAATTTAAAAGATAATTACAAACAAAGAAAACAAAAATTAAAAAGGCCTTAATGTCATGCCACATCAGCATTTAAGTTTATAGACGTAATTGAAGGTAGGGGCCATTTAATATATTTTCTATATATTAAGAAATGTTTTAAATCGTTTTAAAAAATTAAGAGTATTTTGAAATAAAATATATAATTTAAAATGTATTTATAAAAACAATCTAACTTTTAAAGTACCTATTTATTATTATAAAAATACATTATGCTAAAAAATGATTACACTAAAATAAAAGGTACCGATATAATGGTCGCGTTTGGAATTTGTTTTAAAATAATTTTATTTTTTGTATAAAAATAAAAATATTTTTAATGTTAAATATTTTTAAAAATACGTTTGATAGTTTTATAAAGAGATTATTTTTAGTGTAAAAAAACCTATTAATGTCTCTCTTTCTCTCTGTGCTCGAAAGAGAAGAAAATGAAAATAAAAAATAAAAAATAATTAAAAGTCATTTTTTATTTCTATCTCATTTTATACTAACTAAAAAATTATTTTTATTTATGTTTTTTATATTTATTACATCAAATATCATTTTTAAAACGTTTTTATTTTTTTTTAAAATATAAAAAATATAAAAAATAAAAATCAATCAATTCCAAAACCGTCAAAATTTTCTCATAAATCAATAATAACAGAGCAGAGCTCTCTCTCTCTCTCTCTCTCTTCCCCTCGTGAGTCGTTCTCTCTCTCTCCCTTCTAAGTCCATCTTTCATCGCTCAGGTTCGAGGATTAATGGCGTAATTGCTAATTTCTCTTAAGCCTAAAGATCGAGGAAATCTTCAAATGGTTGGTCGGATCTTGTGGGTTTCTCCGAGTTAACAAATCGTATCCCTAATTGGGCTAGTATTATTATTTTTCACCGGTGAATCGTGTTCTGATCGGATCTGGCCATGGCCTCCGCGAAGACTGCTCGGTCTAGAGGCGCACAGGTCAAAGAGAATGGCGTGAAGGTTGAGGAAGGCCTCAATGTTTTCAAGTCCGATAAGTTTGATGCCCAGTCCTACGTACAGTCCCGTTGCTCTCTCAACGAGAAGGTTCGGTTATTATTATTATTCTTCCCTACTTCTCTCTTGGTTTTCTTTATTCCGAGTAAAATTCTGTTTGGTTCCTGAGAAAATTAATTTTGGGTTGGCAAATGAAGGAGAGCAGTTTGAACGTTAAAACTCTGGATATTTGGTTCTTGATTAAGCAATAAGCAATGAGCAATGAGCAGTTTGAAGGTTATTTATTTATTTCGCTGGAAACTGGTCTAGAATACATTTAGAAGTATGAGAGTTTTAGGGCCTGTGAAACTGAAATTGTGAATTCCTGCGAAAGGGCCTGTGAAACTGCTGGAAATTTTCGAAAATCGTTATTAATGTTAATAACTTGATATGCAATTTGCGTGTCTTGGTCCAATTGACACCCAGAGTGCAAGTTGCGAACTATGGAAGTTCAAGCTGAGAAAGTTTACTTCATAGATAAGATTTATTATAGAAATGATGGCGTCACGCATTTTATCACTCTCTCATTTTCTGCTTTCATTGTTTGACACGTGAATTCTATTATCTCATTTTCTTTTTAGATATTAATATATAATGTTAGTGAAGTCCATGACAGTGAATAAAGAAAGTGACAGAAAGACTGACAAAAAAAGTGACGTTAGCATTTCTCATTATTATAATTACTGTTGACATTTCCAAAGTCTGAAGGAAGTGTACATCCAAGTTAGACCAATATCGTTATTTCTTTGCTATTTAATTATTAACATTTTCTGGAGTACTTTGTAGTGTGTATTGTTTTGTGAAAGACTATGCTATATACCACAACCATTTCATTATGCTAGCATAGTTCCTCGTGCTGAATTAATACCAAGTAAAACTTTTATAATTTTTGTTTATTGTATGTCGTATGATAAGGAGTTTGTTTTGAATAACATTTTTTTTCCCTATAATCTTCTTTCATTCATTAATAAAATTTCTGAGTTTCCTATAAAAAAGAGTTTTTTCATAACATTTTTTTTTTCTGTTTATAGGAAATAAAACAGTTATGCTCATATCTTTTGGATTTGAAGAAAGCTTCCGCTGAGGAAATGCGTAAAAGTGTTTATGCTAATTATGCGGCTTTCATACGGCAAGTTTTCACTTTCTTTTCCCCAAGAAGATGAACGCTGTTCAGATTTCGTTTCTAGACTGGCCATATAACTTTGTCCACTAGGCCAGTGAGCATGAATTGTGTGCTAAAAAAATGAAAAAGAAAAACAGTTGTTACGAAATCAAGAGACATGAGTACAGAACCTCGAGATTCACATTTAAGCTAGTATCCTGATAAAAAAGATTGGAGCTCTAACTTTTAGCCATTTTTCTTGTTAATAGTGACCTATAAATACAGATTAAGAGGTATGACTGCAGAGGACTAAGGGCCAGTAGATTGTGCCTCTTGATTATATATTTTACCCTTTAAAGACTTTTATAGTTCAACTGAAACAGGTAAAATAAAAGCTTAAGAAGATGTTGTTATTCAAAATTTAACAAAAAAATTAGGAATCTGAGTTAACACAGAAAAAGTTGAAGAAAAGATAAAATCTTTTTGTCTTTACTCAAATTTGGAAAAAGCCTAAAAATTTTGTGTTGAAGAAAAAGACTTAGAAGTTTTGTGTAGTTTTCTATCTTACCAACCAATTTATTATAGTCAAGAATTAATTCTGGCTTTGATGTAGACATATTACCCTTAAAAGACATATAACTTTATCTTAAAAGAGCATATTTAGGGACCTTAAAACTGAAAGTAAGATCCTGATTCGACTGATGAGATAGATCTCCATTATACAATTATGTGTATTTCCATGTGGAGGATATTTCCATTTTAAGTAATCTGTATTTATTTACTCCTTACAGCACTTCGAAAGAGATATCTGATCTAGAGGGGGAGCTTTCTTCTATCCGGAAACTGTTATCTACTCAAGCTGCATTAATTCATGGTCTAGCCGAGGGAGTTCACATTGATTCATTTTCTAAATCTGCTTCTGACAATTCAACAGCAAAGTCTCTATCTATTGCTGAAGATAATGAACCTTCAGACTTGGAGAAATGGTTAATAGAGTTCCCTGATCTCTTGGACGTCTTGTTAGCTGAGAGGAGAGTAGATGAAGCCTTAGCTGCACTTGATGACGGAGAACGTGTAGCTTCGGAAGCAAAGGAAACAAAGACATTGAGTCCTTCTATGCTCATGTCTCTACAGACTTCTATCATTGAACGCAGGCAAAAATTGGCTGATCAGCTTGCTGAAGCTGCTTGCCAGCCTTCTACACGTGGTAATGAGCTTCGTGCTGCTATATCAGCTCTGAAAAAGCTTGGAGATGGCCCCCGTGCTCATTCATTGCTACTGAATGCACATTTCCAGCGATATCAGTATAATATGCAAAGCCTTCGTCCATCAAGTACCTCATATGGAGGAGCATATACTGCTGCTCTCTCACAGCTAGTCTTTTCTGCTATTGCTCAAGCAGCTAGTGATTCCCTCACTATATTTGGCAAGGAACCAGCTTATGCTTCCGAGCTTGTGATGTGGGCAACCAAGCAAACAGAAGCCTTTGCCCTTCTTGTAAAAAGGCATGCATTAGCTTCATCAGCTGCTGCTGGAGGCTTGAGAGCTGCTGCAGAATGTGTTCAAATAGCATTAGGTCATTGTGCCTTGCTGGAAGCTCGTGGTTTGGCTCTTTGTCCAGTGCTCTTGAAACTTTTTAGACCTAGTGTTGAACAAGCATTAGAGGCTAATTTGAAAAGAATTGAAGAAAGCACCGCTGCCCTGGCGGCAGCTGATGATTGGATACTCACGTACCCTTCGACAGCAACCCGCCAATCTGGCAGAATGCCAACTACATCTGTTGGTAATACTGCAGCATTTCAGCATAAGCTTACAAGTAGTGCCCATCGGTTTAATTTGATGGTTCAGGTGATCTTTTTACCTACAAAGACATTCTTAAATAAAATGATTTATTTGCTCCCATGTGTGTGACTTTCAATCTGTTCTGTTCTAGGAGATTTTTTTTTTCTCTATTTTGATAAATTGTTCTAGGAGCATATTATGCAGTAATATGGTACTGATTCAAATATATCTTGGTTTTGTGATGGTGGTTTGAAATAATTTCTACAAAGATTCTTAAAACTGTCTATGTTGGTTTTTATTGAGGCTATTGCCACAAACATTCTAAAGAGGATGCTCTTTTTTTTCTCTCTTAATATTACTTTTCAGTCAGTGCTTCGAGTGCGTTCTTACTTTCTTGTAGCAGTATGCACTGTCAATGCAGCATACACTTTGAACTTGTCGTAGATGCATGAGTTTAAAAATAGTAGTTTTAGTTTAGTTAAGTATGAGTGGCAAACTCAGATCAATACAAGTCATAAATACTTGGATCAAGATTTTAGGATTCATCATAAGGTTTTCATTTGCGAGTTATAGATTTTGGTCGGAAGTATTAGAATATCTAAAAGAAAAAGAGCATCTAGCTTTGACCTCAAGATAGAGAACAACAACATTAAGCAGGGAGCTGAACAGAAAAAAATAGAAAGAGCAAAGGAAAGGCTAGAAAAAAGATGTCAAAATCCAGTAATAGTTATAGACTGGCTGGAAGCTAGAAACTTATAATGAGATTTTGAAAAGCCCGAGCTTGTTTAACAGAAACATAAGTGTCTGTCCTGTGTTCGCTGAGACAGCAACTTTGTAACAGAAACATACTTGTGACAGGGTGCTGAGGTAGAACCCTCAGCGTACTATTTTTCCAACCTAGTTTTTTTTGTGTGGGAAGTACGATGAGATAAGTCCCTCTTTTGTATTTGCATTGTCAAGCTGCTAGAAAGTTATGGCGACGAGTAATGGAAGAAACGGGGTTTTTGTGGGTGTTTTCAACCCCTTGCTGATCATTCATGGTATGATGGTTCTTGGTTCCCGATAAGATGGTAAAGGTTCCACGGAGTCGTATAGTATTATCGATATTGTGAATGATTTGGCTGGAGAGAAGTGCAAGAATCTTTGAAGAAAAAGAGATGGAAAAATTTGACATTTATGATAAGGGGAAATTGTCAGCTTCCTTGTGGACATCAACATATAAATCGTTCAAAAGTATTTCGTTTTTTCCTTGATAGTCCTTAATTGGAAAGATGTTCTCAGCTTCCTTATAGCTTTTGTTTTTATTGAGTTTTTACTTTGTAATTTTGTGTATTTTTTAAATTGTGTTCTTGAGGATATCTTATCCTTTTTCCTTTGTATTAGATTAACTAATCAATAAAAGGAGTTTTTCTTATTTAAAAAAGAAAAAGAAAAAGAAAACAAGTACCATGTTGAATTTGTCACTTCAGATGCTGTACCCTGTTCTTCTAGGTGTATGAACTCCTCTTGTTAGGGATGTTCAAAAAATCCGTCAAACCGCCTAATCCAAATCAAACCGAACCAAATTGTTAATAAATTTTGGATTATTTTTTGTGGTTTTTGGCTTAACTTTGGTGTCCAAACCGCCCAAAAATACACATGTAATTTATTGTTTTTAAAATATTTTTTTATATATGCTAATATTCTTTTACATATGTTAATTTCAATGTGTCAGATTTCGTTTTCTATCTTTTCATCTTTAGTTTTGATGATGTTTGATTTCATTTCTTACGCTTTCTTAGAATTATTGTCTGATGGAGTCGATTTCAGTTCTTATGCTTTATATATCTGAGTTCATCTATGATGTGGTTCGTCGTATAGTATCTGTATGGTATTGCTATTGCTACTAGATTTATTCTCTTTGCTTTCACTTCTAGGTTCTTGTTGTGGAAAAAAAATTATTATTTTTGTTGAATGGAAAATTTTTTGTTATTAAAAATTTATAATGATTCATGCGAGTGATTTAATAACAAGTTTCATACATTATGGTTTGTTATTATGAATTGTGAATTTTGATGCTTGTTTCTAAACAAGTTGTTCTGCTTTGAGAGAGTTTTGTTATTACTTGAAATTGATCTATATTTTTTTGCGTACATGAACAAAATTTGGTTGGTAAACTTTAATTTGTGTATGTGACCTTTTAGTTTAGTTGTTGGTTTGTATTAAAACTTTGAATGTGAACTTTTAGACATTTGTTATTTTTGAATTAGATTGTAAACTATGAATGTTATCTTTATTTTTATGAATTAACGGTTTTATAATTTTGTGGAATATTTTAAACTTTTTTAGTCTTAAGCCTAAACCGCCCAAATGAAACCACCCAAACGGTTTATAAATGGTTTATAAGTGATTTGGTTTAATTTGGTTATCAAACCACCCAAACTGCTGAAAAATTATTTTTGATTTGATAGTGGTTTGGTTTTATTTATTTATTTATTTTTTTAAGTCCTAACCACATGCGAACACAAATCAACTTCCAGTAAAGCATAGCTTCCTGTAATGATCTTTCGTCCTTAAGACTTTAGCCTTCCCCCCTCCCTGTTTTGAATCTCTCTTTTCCTTGCTGGATCTCATCTTCAACTTATTCAATATTGTGTATGCTATCAATTGCTCTTACAGGATTTTTTTGAGGATGTTGGACCGCTACTGAGTATGCAGTTGGGAGGCCAAACATTGGAAGGTTTGTTTCAAGTGTTTAACTCGTATGTGAACATGCTCATAAAAGCATTACCTGGTTCGATGGAGGAAGAAGCAAACTTTGAAGGTTCTGGAAACAAAATAGTCAGAATGGCTGAGACTGAAGCTCAGCAGATTGCGTTGCTGGCAAATGCATCATTGTTAGCAGATGAACTACTTCCACGTGCAGCTATGAAACTGTCTCCACTGAATCAGGGTACTTACAATGATGATCCCCGTAGAAGAATTTCAGATAGGCAAAATCGTCATCCCGAGCAAAGAGAATGGAAGAGGCGGTTGGGCAGCTCAGTTGATAGACTAAAAGATACCTTTTGTCGTCAACATGCTCTAGATCTTATATTTATGGAGGAAGATGATAGCCATCTTACAGCAGACATGTACATAAACATGGATGGAAATGTAGATGACATAGACTGGTTTCCGTCCCTTATATTTCAGGTACTTGTTGTGGTCTTTTTAAAAATTGTTTGTATAGGATAAATATAGCCATCTTTCTGAGATTCCTATGCCAACTTCAAGCGGGGGAGTGTTTTCTGTGTGATTTTTTCTTTTATTATTGCAAATTTGCGATTTTTTGCATTTGATATTTCCTTTCCATTTTCGTTGTAAATCAGGAACTTTTCATAAAACTGACCAGAATGGCTACCCTAGCAGCAGATATGTTTGTAGGCAGAGAAAGATTTGCGACATTGCTATTAATGAGACTAACGGAAACAGTCATCTTGTGGTTGTCCGATGACCAAAGCTTTTGGGATGATATTGAGGATGGGCCAAGGTCTCTTGGCCCTCTTGGCCTCCAACAGGTATTATCTTTTATCAAATTTTGACATACTGATTTGTTAAATAAATTTAAGTTATCCGCGTTTTGGAGGCCCAATGGGAAAACTGAAGTTACACTTTCTCATAGGGATGTCAATCGTCATGGCTGTTCCACGTTGTATTTTTTTTTTTCTTTTTTTGTGGTCGGGGGTGCAGGGAAAAATTCGTTTCATAGATAAAGAATCAAGTACAAAGGAAAAGAACAATTTCAGGGAAAACATTTATAAAGAATCACTTCCATATTCTACTATTAGAGAAAACATTCCAGTTTATCAATGTTGGAAAATACCATTTCCCTTTGAGGAAGCTACTGGATAAATCAATGTCATAGAGGTGAATCATGAAGTTATCGGTTTGGACTATATTATATTGGCGGACGGCGGACATGGTGAGGAAGCAACTATATAAATCAACTACTCCCATGAAGCTATGATACTGGTTGATCTTGCTGTGAACCATTTTGAACTATAATTCCAATTAAAATGCTAGCAATTTTGGGAAGTACATTGTTATACGTCATATTATGAGAAATGATCACATATGTTCGCAGTTCTACTTGGATATGAAGTTTGTCATAAGCTTTGCTTCACAAGGTCGATATTTGTCTCGAATTTTACATCGAGGAGTCAATGAGATCATATCCAAAGCCATGGCAGCATTTGCCTCGACAGGGATGGATCCCAATAGGTAAGCAACTTCATTCTTAGGATGTAATCAGTGATGTGATCCGCACAGCAGTAAAACATTTTACTTGATTCTGAGGTTTTCGTTTGCTTTCAGCGTGCTGCCAGAAGATGACTGGTTCAATGACGTATGCCAGGAAGCAATAGAAAGGCTGAGTGGAAAACCAAAGGGCATCAATGGCGAACGTGAGCTTAACAGCCCAACTGCTTCTATTTCAGCACAATCAATCTCATCTGTTAGATCTCATGGTAGTTCATGAGGCATGGTTCCATTGTAAAGTTAGACTGCAAAAAGAAGCTACAATTTGCTGGTACATCCTTGTGTTCTTAGGATTTCTCTGCTATTTTCAGTTCGTCTTTGCTTATTTTACTTCACATACGATCATACAAGGATGAACTTACAGTTCTATGGTTGCGAAGTCGTTCTATACGAGTGATTTGAGTTTTGTATGCATTGATTGCACTATGTCACCTCGAGTCCAAGTTTGTACATTCTTTATTATGTGAATGAATTTGAAACATGTTGAAATCTGTAATTATGGACTGCATTAACAGATCATATGTCCTCAATATGATCCATGCATCCAGGGATTTACATATCTTTACGACTTTTACCTTTCAATTCACGATTGATAAAACAAAAGTCCAATTTCTAGTTTGTTTTGCTTCAGCAAAAACTAAAAATAAAAATAAATCTAATTTTTTGAGTAAGCACTACTAGCTTGTTCCATACTTAAAACCCATCAAAACATTTTTCTTCTTATACTTGGTTCTGAATCTGATTGTATGATGGAGAGGTGGCTTTCACGGTCTGTTTAGATTTTCTATTCATGCTTGTATGTGGTTTTAAATTTTGCTTGGGTTGGATGTGAGGACTCGTATACTTGTATTTCATGAATTTTCTTGCATGCGACTTAAAAGGTCTATTTGGGACTTGTATATGGATACATTTAGAGCATCTTCAATGCAATGTGCAATGGCTGTGAAATTTTAGCACTTGAGTAAGAAAATTACTCTCTAATACAATGCTATTTGGGCACCAAGTATATATAGCTTAAAATCAAGTTTAAGCATTTGATTGTTAAAATAACTCGTGTACTAAATCAATGTTAGGGACACCAACTTTAATTCCATCTCGTGTACCAAATCGTGTAGTGTGTGAGTTGTAGAATCTCTCAGGGAGTCTACAAGTTTAGGAGGCAAATGTTGTTGGGGGGGGGGGAATTGAAATGATAATTTTGGTTTTATGCAATTGTAAGGAATGTCTTTAAGATGTGAAGAGAAAATTCGAGGGTGGTAATAGAAACACCTTCCTAAAACAGATGTTGATTGTTGATGGCTTCGGTTAAAACCTGTCATGAACAATAACTCCCACTTATCGAGTATGCTTGTGGCATTTTGGCAAAGGCTTGGCTTCTTTCCATTAGTAGCCAAAAAAATATTTACAGCATACATTCGAATAACAGATGCATTGAAATCCAAGATACAAAGGTAGTAAAAGGTTTTTGTTATTTTGTTTCTCTTTTTATATTCTTTTCATGGGTTACAAAGTTCTCTTTGAGCTTGGGAGAGTTACATATTCATGAGGCACTGTCGGATTGCTAGGGCCAAGTTTCATCCTTACTCTACGACTACGGGTGGTTCTTGCCGTCAAGCTCGCCTTATAAGCTTTGTGTGGGGGCGAGGGCAAGCATCTAATAGTTGTTTGACAACATCTCTCATCGTGGGTCTTTTGCTCGGATCATTTTCAGTACATCTCAAGGCCACAAGAAGAACATCAACTACTTGTTCCTTAATTGTCGAATCCAACAATTCGCCTTCAAGGTCTGGATCAAGAATCTCGTTGATATTTGCTGCATTGCTCCACAAAGATCTAACCCACCCCACAATATCAGCATCCTCGGTAAATCTTGGATCAACTGCCATCTTTCTGGTTATTAGCTCAAGCAAAACAACCCCGTAACTGTAAACATCAGATTCCTTACCCCTCATTGTTGTAAACGCAATCTCTGGCATGTTCAAACACATAAATTTTCAGTTAGTTCCAAAATTTTAATACAGCAATGTAGATAATTGATCTTCGAAAAAGTTTCGAAAGGTTACCTGGTGCAATGTATCCAATGGTTCCAAGAACGGAGATAGACAGTGTTGAAGAGGAAGACTGATCCAAAAGTTTCGCGATTCCAAAATCAGCAATATGCGGCTCCATCTCAGAATCCAAGAGTATGTTCTTCGGTTTGATGTCTCGATGTACTATAGCAGGATCACAGTCAAAATGGAGATAGGCCAGTCCATGTGCAGTTCCAATAGCTATATTATAGCGAACACTCCACTCCAGCGTCGGTGGTGGATTCATTTCGTGTAAAACATCATGCAGGCTGCCATTTTGCATGTACTGATACAAGATTAAACCATAGTCCTTTCTTAACCAGAAGTCTTCCAGCTTGACCAGATTCCGGTGCCTGATCTTCCCTAGAGTTTCAATTTCCCTTATCATACTGAGACTTGCCCCATTAGTTCCCACATTCACAAGCTTCTTTACAGCAAAAATTTCATCTGGACCAAGGGAAGCTTTATAAACAGTACCATGGGCACCTCTCCCTATTACATACCGATCGTTCAGATTTTCTGTAGCTTCCATCACTTTGCTGAGTAAGGAAGATGGCCCTTCTGGTGCTGAGATCTTTATTTTCTGCTTTGATCTTCTGGATAAGGAAAGCATACAAAGCAGCCCGGAAATAATAACAAGAACAACAATGGATCCAAGGACAATCATTACAATTTGTACTCTGCTTAAGCCATTCCCTCTGCTTGATGGACGGGCACAAGGCTGTAAAATGTCGTTTCCGCTGCAAGTAGAGCCATTTGATGCAAGGCAATTGACACATAAACCAGAATTCCCCCAAAATGATGTTGGAGAAGAACGCAGCAGCTTCAGCAATTTTTCTGGTACAGCACCCGTGAAATCATTGTATGAGATATTGACTTCCAACAATGAGAGTATGTCCTCAAGAGGGCTTAAACTTCCTGTCAAGCTGTTATGAGATATATCCAATCGCTCGAGCTTGATCTCTCCTATCTCTACTGGAATCTTCCCAGTCAACCTGTTATTGCTGAGATTCATCAAATAAAATGGATTTTCAAATGATCCAATAGTTGCAGGAATCTCTCCTCCCAGAAGATTTCCACCAAGTTCTAACACTGAGCTTTTCAAACTGAGACAAGAACGTTGGAATACCGCCAGTAAAATGGTTTTCACTCAAAATCAATGTGGATAAACCGGTCCAGCTCTTTAAACTTGACGGAATAGAACCATTCAATGAATTGTATCCGGCATCAAACACACCTAAGCGTGTGCAATTTGCAAGCTGCGATGGCAAAGAACCCACCAAGTTGTTGTAAGAAAGAATCAGAGTCTCAAGATGAGCAAGATTCCCTAGCTCTGAAGGAATCAATCCTGTAAACTTGTTCGTGGACAGATTAATGGACGTAAGGTTAATACAATTTCCCAAGCTCGGTGGAATTGCCCCACCGATGCTGTTCATGCTGATGTCCATGAATGAAAGGTTTGGATTCTTTCCAAACTCTGGAAGAACCCCTGTGAGTTTGTTCTGCTTGAGGATCAGTCTCCATAGAGTCGAACAGCTTCCCACTTGTGAAGGTATGCTACCTTCAAATCGATTAAAACCCAAATTCAGCACCCTCAATTGCTTTCTGAAGCAAAGATTTAGAGGGATTTCACCGCTGAACTTATTTGCCGTGAGGTCTAACTCCTCTAAGCTGCTGTTAATCCCCAGATTTGGAGGCATGACACCAGAGAATTGATTGTTAAATAGTGAAACATTTTTCAGTTGCTTCAGCTCCAAGGGTAGCTCACTAGAAAGACAGTTATTATTCACAAGGACCTGCTCGAGACTGGGAATCTTCCATATACTAAGCGGTATTTCGCCGGCTAAACGGTTGTCAAACAGTTCAAGGTCTTGCAACTCAGACAGAAAACGCAACTCACTGGGAATTTTCCCTCCAAGTTGGTTTGCATACAACTGTAGTTCTTTCAAGGCTTTACAGCTTCCAAGTTCAGCAGGTATTTTACCACTGAAATAGTTCTTCAGCAGGTATTTTACCACTGAAATTGTTCTCCGCAAGGTATAGAAATTCTAGCTTATCCAGTTGGCCAAAAGAAGATGGGATATTGCCCGTTAAGTTACTCCGGACAGCAGAAATCCCTGATAAACTGCTACAGTTGCCCAAACTTGGAGGAAGGCCTCCATTAAAACTATTTAGTGACAAATCAAGACCAACTAGGCTCTTACAATTACCCAGTTCCCAAGGAATTCTACCGACAAGGTGATTGTTGACTACCTGTAAATAAGTAAGGTTCTCGAGGTTGCTCAAGCTCGAGGGTAAAACTCCCATCAATTGGTTATCACTAAGAATAAGTTCCTCTAATTTACTACAGTTTCCTATTGACCAAGGAATTGACCCGGAAAACTTGTTACCATGTAGATACAACATCACAACATTGCTCATGTTCCCAATACTTAAAGGAATGGAACCATTCAAGTTGTTGAGGCTCAGATACACTTGTTCTAAGCTTGGAATTTGAAACAAGGAGTTGGGAATTTCACCAGACAGAGAATTGCTAAACAAGCTTAAAATCCTTAAATTCTGCAAGGTTTCTGGGTATCTCTCCCGATAGTGTGTTGTAGTCCAGAGTGAGGCTCTCAAGAAGACTACAGTTGCTCAACTCCTGGGGAAGCGAGCCAAAGAAGCTGTTTGAGCTCAAATCAAGAGTCTGCAAACGCTTCAAGTGGCCAATTTCAGGTCCAATTTGACCAGAGATTCCATAACCAGAGAGATTTAAGGATAAAACATTGTGGGAATTCTTGTCACATCCGATTCCTACCCATGAGCAAGGAGTGGAATCAGAATGATTCCAGCTTGTGCTTATGGAAGGAGGCACCGAATCCCAGTGCTCCTGGAGCGACAACAAAGTCACTCCATCAAAGCTCAGAGAATACACCTCGGTATGTGTGCAAACAACAGAGCACAGGAATCGCAAGAAAATGAACGAGTAAAACTTCATACTTTCTTTCTAAGTTAGAGAGAGATAGAGAGAGGAATTTTGGTAAAGGCCATGCACAGGTTAAAGGTTGGAACAAAAGCTATAAAATTTTTATATTTATTCGTGATGTCGATGATAAATTGAGGAAAAGAATACACATGATTATATATATATATATATATATATATATTTGCTGATCACATCTGTTGGAAAAAATGGCTTATTAAGCCATTTTAAAGGCCCATTTTGAGGCCCATGTTTGAAAGGGGCCCAATAGGTTTTGAGACGGGTCTCGATGGATTTGCGTTTTTCGTCACGAGGAGATCGAAATCAAGTATTCATACACTCAAAATAGATTTTGGGTGAATGAGAAATTGATGGTCTAAGTATGGTACTTGGAATGGCATATGTAGAAGGGAAATTGTAAAAGTCCCACATTGGCTAAGAGTGAAGCCAATGTGGTGTTTATAAGTGGGGCCTAATGTGTGCGGACACGAATGCCGGACCGGAAAACCCGCTCCGTGCGAGCTTACTTTTGCGATTTTTATTTTGCTCTAGCCAAGACCTTCCAGCTTCCGTATGATGGTTAAAGACCATAATGAGACCTTAATGGAGGCAAACCGAATCAACCTTTCATGGCTTCGGTTTTTCATCATCAAAAACTGAATTACTAGCCAGAATGTGGTCAGATTCACCGTGGGAAATTAAAAAACGTTTTGGCTGGTTTTAATCACCATTATTCCGGGAATAAATCTGGGTTATTACACCATAATGTCTTGGTGTAACACCCAGATTTTGGAGCCTATATAAAGGCCAAAACTCCACATGATAGGTACACACTTTCTCACAATTCTCTTCTCCTTTTTCGGTTCTCTCTCTCTCTTGGTTTGTTCCGGATTTCCTTGAGTAGTTCTTCTAGTTCGGTTTTGGTGATTGAGGGAAGATCAAGTTCTACTTCGCCGGACGGTTCCGAAAGTGCATCGAGCTGCCGTCGTTGTCGTTGTATCCTGGGAGACGGACGTCCAACGTAACCTCAAGCACACGCCGGAGGGGATGAATCTGTTTTAAGGACAACGTGGTTCACGTGCCTCGACATTCATACAATTCCGTTTTCTGAATTCCATAGAAAGGTTGATTTCGGGTTGTAACAATTTTCATTATTTTGTTATTTCTTTATTTTCTTGTTCTTCTTTGTATTTTCTATTATATTGTCTAACAACATCAACAAAGTAGTTTAATCGGGACAACATAATCATATCAGTTTTATTAAAGTTTCCATACCACAGTTTTATTTTTATTTTTTTCCCTTATATTTGTGTTTGGCTGTCTACTTTTTGATACTGGTCTTCTTTAAATTTTTACGTGGAAATTGACTGAATTAACTTGAAAGTTTTATACGAGCGTAATTTGCTTTCAACAGGGACAAAAATGTTATTTTTTTTGTCACTATCGTGTTTGTTGTTGAGGACCACTTTAACAACTAACAATACTTTCCGATTAGCGAAAAAAAAAGAGAGAGCAGCCAGTATCTTTCTTTTGAAAATGAGAATATTTTGAGAATAATATTGAGTAATTTTTTTTTTTTTTTGCTGGAATATATTGAGACTGATTTTAAAATTGTGTTTAGTTATTTTTTTGAGTGATTATTTTAGGCATAAGAAAAAAGTAAAACTCTGTTTAAGTACATTTTTAAAAACTTGTATTACGTTATAGTCTTAGAAATGAAAAGAAAAATTTGAAAATAATTTTTAATGGGTATATTTGGAATTGATTTTAGATTATTTTTAAAAATATTTTTACACGTATTTTAAGACACGAAAATGAAAACAGTCAGTAAACCTTATTTATTTAGCAAATGCTTTGAAAATAAAAATGAAAACAGAAAACAATAAGAATGATTTATGTGAAGGAATTAGAAAACGGTTAAAAGTTATGTTTTTTTGTTCTTATTTTCTAGAACTTATCAACAATGTTATAATATATTAATTAATAATTATAACGAAACACGATTTCACTTTTTTATTAACTTAAAATAATTTTTTAAAAAACTAATCAAATGCAATTTTAAAATGATTTTTAAAATAATCTCATTTTTATTTTTGTACTGAAAATAAAATTCTTTTAAAAACGTTACCAAACTGGTCCAATAATTTTCTATTTTCTACACAAAAACCGTTCCTAACTTTTCGTGGAATATTTCTAAAAACAGCAAAAAGCAGTACCAAACAACATCAAAGGTTTAAGATTCTAACGCAGAATTTGGTGGAATATATAAAATAATAATAATAATAATAGTGCAGCAAATGATATGAAACCTTGTGATCTGTACTCTCATGTAAAAATAAAAGGAATCTATGATCCTTTAAATTGCCAAATTTGTATGTCTAAAAAGTACTGTATCTATTGCCGATACAATTTAGTGAAAGAATTTGGTGATTCGTATTATTCTCGTAAACATAATCATCATGTCAATACTTCTGTAAAGGCTTCGCACCACAAACATTAAACTCAACGCTAATAACTCTTTTTTTTTTTTTTCCTTTTGAAAATACGCTAATAACATTTTTCTTCCTTTAAAAAAAAAAAAAAGGAAATTTGTTTCTTAAATTAAAAAAAAAAAATTACTCACATCAATACTAACTTGGGAAAAACGTGAGGCTAGTTTCCTTAAAATGAAACACGTATAGGAAAACCAAATATTAAGCACTCAAAAGAAAGATGTTCTAATTTATTAGCTTATCTGTTTAGTACGTGTGTGGGCAATCCCATATTTGAGTATGATATAAAGATGATTTTCTACCCATCCATAACTCATGAAGAATTTTTATGCGCGTTTGGAACTTGTTTAAAATGGTTTTATTTTTTATATAAAAATAAAAATGAAAACGTTTTCAATCTCAGACAAAAAGTATTTTTAAAAATGCGTTTAGTAGTTTTATTAAGATATTATTTTCAGTGTAAAAAAACTCATTAATTTCTCTATTTCTCTCTCTCTCTCTGCTCGAAAGAGGAGAAAATAAAAACAAAAAATGAAAAATGACTAATTTTCATTTCTCTCTCATTTTACAGTAACCCAAAAAATCATTTTCATTTTCGTTTTTTTGTCTTTATTGCGCTAAACGTTGTTTTAGAAACGTTTTCATTTTTTTCTCAAAAAATATGAAAAATAAAAACGGGTTCAATTCCAAACACGACCTTTGAAACTGCCTTAGTTGGAACATTTTCTAAAAGACAGCATGTGGGTTTGTAGTGCATATCCCTAGAAGTGCATACACAATGCTGAATAACTTATGAAACGTATCCAATAAGGTTCTCTTTCTTCTCTCTGCTGCACCATAATATTGCAGAGCTGCAGTTAAATGAGACGTAATCTTATTCTCTAATAAATGTTTTAAAAATTCATCTAATAGGTATTCACCATCTTAAATCGAGATCGCAGTTTAATAATTAGTTATGTTTTTTGATGGAACAAATAGTTTAATTTGGCCTTTCTCATAGCTTGAAAACACGTTGCTTGCCAAAGCCTTGATCGTGAAAAACTGGAAATTGGTGATTTCCACCCATGAATTTCTTTTCATTTTTGCCCCGGAGTTTCATCTTTCCAAAACCAATCCATATGCTACCAACGATAAAATGTAGACCCATCTCTAATGTCAATGTTACTGTCATAAAAATATATAAACATGTGAACATGACATATTTGATATTTTGTTCAATGTTGTGCTCCAACATATAATATTATTCAAATGTTATATCTATCTTTGATCTTAATATACAACTTATAAAAATAAACTTTTAAAATTTAAATAAATTGAAAATGACCGTGTCTTATTCAGCTTTTGAGGATCTTTCTAAAATAAAATAAATAAAAAAATCCACTACGTTTTTGCAAACGTAAGGCGCAAAAGAACCTCAAAATATTGAAATCTCTTATGATATTCAACGCGAAAAAGAAGATGGGAACTAAAGGCGCCAAAAGATTAAGAGTTTGAGGACTAAAGTGTTTAAATTCTTTAAATGGGGACTAATAGTGCCAAAAGATTAAGAGTGTTTGGTATGATGGAAAAGTTGAAGGAAGGAAGTAGGTAGAGGGATTATTGGATAGAAAATGATAGAGTTAGTTGTTTGGTAAGAAGGAAGAGATGAGAGAAAGAAAAGGATGGAAAAGAATTATGGTGGAGTTACTATTTTTTATCTCTCCAACATTGGAAAGAAAACTCAAATCCACGCATTGATGGCTAAATTTACTTTAGTGTTCCTATTTTAAAATCTAAATTAATATTAAACAATTAATAAAATAGTCATTTAGGTTATTATATGTTTTCTTTCCTCTCATTATACCAAACACTATAAAGGAAAATCTACTTCATTCCTTTCCTTCACATTTTCTTTCTTTTATGTGTTTTTTTTTCCATTCTCTTTTCTTTCCCTCCTACCAAGCGGAGTGTAATAGTGTGGGGACCTGAGTGTCAAAATTCTTAGAACGAGGACCTATATGCCAAAGGATGAAAAGTTTGGGACCCACGGCGCAAATACCCCTTGATATTAAACTGGACACTAATCAAGTATAGTATATATTAAATTTAGTATAAAAAAAAATAGTATTGCATTTAAATGCCAAAATTTGGCAGACATTTCAATTTGACACTACATTGAAAATGCTCCTACTCATACTGATCCTTGAACCATGTTCATCCATATGCATAACGAAACGAAACAAACAAACCAAAATCTCGAATAAAATATAACTTCCCTCATAAACATGCAGTTTAATTGTGTTTAAGTAGACTACTTTGACTTTGCCTCAGGGATATATGAAGTTTAAACGCTTATCGTTATCATTGACATGATTGAGTGTAAACCCATTGGGGTAATTCAAGCCAAAAAAAGGGTAGAGCATACGGGTAAATGACATTTAATTTACAAAACTATTATATCTAATCATCGATGAGCTATCACTTATGAATGGTAGGAATGACAAACACCGGAGAAGTAGATAATATGGGAGGGATTGGTTCCTCTTCAATATTGCATAAAACAGTAGCTATATATACAACTACACTTACTGGGTAAACATCCACAGCAAAGCTAAGGCAATCAAAGAGGAAGCCTCTAAGAGTAGCTTTTCGAGCTTTGTGTGCGGTGAGGACAACTAACTAGTAATTGATTGACAACTTCTCTCATGGTGGGTCGTTTGCTCGGATCCTTTTCGGTACATCTCAAGGCCACAAGAAGAACATCAACAACTTGTTCCTCAATTCTCGAATCCAACAGTTCACCTTCAAGGCCTGAATCGACAATCTCATTGATATCTGTTGCATTGCTCCACAAAGATCTAACCCAGCTCACAATATCAGTTGCCTCGGTTAGTGTCGGATCCACTGCCATCTTTCTTGTTATGAGCTCAAGCAAAACAACCCCATAACTGTACACATCGGACTCCTTGCTCCTTGTTGTTGTAAATGCATTTTCTGGCTCGTTCAAACATAGAAAATTTAGTTTGTCGAGAAATTCAAACCAGGAAATTGATAATCGATAGTTGACAAAGTTTCGAAAGGTTACCTGGTGCAATGTATCCAATGGTTCCAAGAACGGAGATAGACAGTGTTGAAGAGGAAGACTGATCCAAAAGATTCGCGATTCCAAAATCAGCAATATGCGGCTCCATCTCAGAATCCAAGAGTATGTTCTTCGGTTTGATGTCTCGATGTACTATAGCAGGATCACAGTCAAAATGGAGATAAGCCAGTCCATGTGCAGTTCCAATAGCTATATTATAGCGAACACTCCACTCTAGTATTGGTGGTGGATTCATTTCGTGTAAAACATCATGTAGGCTGCCATTTTGCATGTACCTATACAAGATTAAACCATAGTCCTTTCTTAACCAGAACTCTTCCAGCTTGACCAGATTCCGGTGCCTGATCTTCCCTAGAGTTTCAATTTCCCTTATCATGCTGAGACTTGCCCCATTAGTTCCCACATTCATAAGCTTCTTTACAGCAAAAACTTCATCTGGACCAAGGGAAGCTTTATAAACAGTACCATGGGCACCTCTCCCTATAACATACCCATCTTTCAGATTTTCTGTAGCTTCCATCACTTTGCTGAGTAAGGAAGATGGCCCTACTGGTGCTGAGATCTTTATCTTCTGCTTTGATCTTCTGGATAAGGAAAGCATAAAAAGCAGCCCGGAAATAATAACAAGAACAACAATGGATCCAAGGACAATCATTGCAATTTGTATTCTGCTTAAGCCGTTCCCTTTGCTTGATGGGTAGGCGCAAAGCTGTAAAATGCCGTTTTCGCTGCAACTTGAACCGTTTGATGCAAGGCAACTGACGCACAAACCGGAGTTTCCCAGAAAAGAAGTTGAAGAAGAATGCAGGAACTTTATCAATGTTTCTGGTAAAGTTCCTGCGAAATCATTGTATGCAACATTGACTTGCAATAATGAAACTATGTCCCCAAGAGGTTTTAAACTTCCAGTCAAGTGGTTATGAGATATATCCAATCGCTCAAGGCTGATCCTTCCAATTTCTGAAGGAAGTTTCCCTCTCAACCCATTATTGCTGAGATTCAATAAAAGAAAAGGATGTTTAAATGCTCCAATAGTAGCAGGAATCTCTCCTCCGAGAGGATTTCCACCAAGTTCTAGCACTAAAAGCTTCCCAAACTCGAACAAAAATGATGGAATGCCACCAGTAAAATGGTTTTCACTCAAACTAAATGTGGTTATCTCCGTCCAGCTCCTAAATTTCGATGGTATGGAACCATTCAGTGAATTGAATCCAACGTCAAACTCACCTAGCTTGGTGCAATTTGAAAGCTGAGACGGCAAAGAACCCACCAAGTTGTTGCCAGAAAGAATCAAACTCTGAAGCTGTAGAAGATTCCCGAGGTGTGCGGGTATGGATCCCGTGAACTTGTTCATGGACAAATTGATAGAAGCAATGTTGGTGCAGTTTCCCAAGCTTGATGGGATTGATCCGGAAATTCTGTTCAAGCTTACATCCATGAAAAAAAGGTTTGGATTCTTTGAAAACTCTGGAAGAACCCCTGTTAGGTAATTCTGCTTGAGGATTAGCCTCCTGAGAGTGAAACAACTTCCGAGTTGTGAAGGCATGCTACCTTCTAAACGATTACGACCCATATTCAGCAATCTCAATCGCTTTCCAAAGCAAAGATTTGGAGGGATTTTGCCGCGGAACTTATTATTAGTGAAATCCAACTGCTCTAAGCTGCTGTTAATTCCCAAGTTCTGAGGTATGCTTCCGGAGAATCGGTTGTCAAACAAAGAAACATTTTTTAGTTGCTTTAGGTCCGTCATTTCCGGAGGTAGCTCCCCATAAAGACTGTTATTATACACAAGGATCTGCTCAAGAGTCGGAATCTTCCATATACCAAGTGGTATTTCACCAGTTAAACGATTGTTAAACAGACTAAGGTCCTGCAACTTAGTAAGCAATCCCAACTCCATGGGAATTTCCCCCTCAAGTAGGTTTGTATACAACTGTAATTCTCTCAAGGATCTACAATTCCCAAGCTCAGATGGTATTTTCCCCAATAAACGGTTCTCGGGAAGATGAAGAAGTTCTAGATTATCTAGTTGGCCAAAGGAAGATGGAATACTGCCCACTAAGTTACTTCTTGCAGCACCAAACTCAGACAAACTACTACAATTGCCCAAACTCGGAGGAAGGCCTCCACTGAAACTATTGTATGACACATCCAAGAACAATAAGTTCTTGCAATCGCCTAGTCCCGGAGGAATTCTACCCGAAAGGCGATTATTTCCGACATGTAAATACGTAAGGTTCTTGAGGTTCCTCAAGCTATCCGGCAAAAGCCCGGTCAATTGATTTTGATCCAAGGCAAGTTCCAACAACTCACTACAGTTTCCAATGGATGAAGGGATCGCCCCGGATAACCGGTTGCCTTGTAAATACAGCATTACAAGACTGCTCGCATTCCCAACATTCGAAGGGATTGAGCCACCCAACTTGTTATAGCTCAAATACAATTCTTCTAAATTTGGAATTTGAAATAAGGATTCAGGAATTTGACCAGACAGAGAATTGTAATACAACTCAATAAGCCTCAAGTTTTGCAAGTTGCTTTTGAGGGTAGTGGGTATTTCTCCAGTTAGTGAATTTGAAATCAAGGACAGGCTCTCAAGAAGAGTACAATTTCCCAAATCTTGTGGAATTGAGCCATGGAAGCTGTTTATGCTCAAATCAAGAACCTGCAAATGCTTCAAGTGACCAACTTCAGGTCCAATTTGACCAGAAATTCCAGAACTTGAGAGGTTTAAGGAAACCACATTGTGGGTATTGTCACACTCGATTCCTACCCATGAGCAAGGAGTGGAATGAGAAGCATTCCATGAAGAGCTTATGGAAGGAGGCACGGAATCCCAGTGCCTCTGGAGTGACAGCAGAGCCACCCCATCAGAGCTCAGACAAGACACTTTCGGAATGAAAGAAGAAAAGCACAGCAGAAGAAGAAATGAACTCAACAAACCAATCTTCAAACAAACCATAGTCTCTCTATAAAGTTCGAGAGAGAGAGAGAGGAAATTAGAGAGTTAAAAGAACCTGGGCAAAGAGTGGTGAATGTTGTTCGAAGGAACCGTGGCACTTGAAGCTTGCAACAGAGATTCAGAGAGCCATTGAAAATGCTTTGAAACTTAAGTTTACAGAGAGAGAGAGAGAGAGAGGAAATTAGAGAGTTAAAAGAACCTGGGCAAAGAGTGGTGAATGTTGTTCGAAGGAACCGTGGCACTTGAAGCTTGCAACAAAGATTCAGAGAGCCATTGAAAATGCTTTGAAACTTAAGTTTACAGAGAGAGAGAGAGAGAGAGGAAGGCAACAAAGACAAAGGAATTTATTGTACTTCTATTGTTGCCACTTACCTGCAGTGAGCCATATATATTATTATCTTAGGAAAACTTGCCACGCGGGTTATTTGTTTAGGACATTTTGAAGTTGGTCGTTCTAATTTGACCAAACCATCTAACTCCTTTTTTCTCTCTTTTTTTAAGGAAGTTTTTATTGTAATGAAGATTTTTGTCACTGCCAGACATGGAAAGCTCTTTTAACTATTGGATTATTTTTTTAACTGTATGATTTATGAATGGACCTTAAAAGTGCTCACAGTCATAACTCATACCTCATACTGTTAAAAAAATTAATCTAATGACTAATAAATCACCATTAATAGTGAAAAAGAGTCATCCACAATATAAACACCAATAATTTTACATGACACGAACTTTGCTATCAACTTATAAGTTGTCTTTATTTTACCAATAAAAATATAATAACTTATAAGTTGGTACAATTATTGTCTTTTTTTATTGCTCTGAGATTTGGTGTGTTTTTCATGTAATTCTATAATTCTTTTTTAATTTATTATTACTATTATTTTATTACAAAAATTATTCCTAAACTAAATCTTTTGTAATATTTTATCATCTGACGTTTCTTAAAGAATAAAACCTTAATAAAAACACCCCTTCTTTCTGTCAAAAGATTTACAACTAAGGAAGAAAAATCCTTCTTCAATTTGCTTTCTTAATTTGTTTGTTGTATTGGCTTGTATGACACATTGTAAAAAAAATTGTAAGTGAAAAATAATGCGGCAGTCGAATACAAAAATATATTTTTAATTTCAGAAATTGATAAAATCATTCTTAAAATGGGAGAGCATCGGGCACTGTGTTCGAGGTCAGACTTCTCAGGTGAGCGTGTGAAGAGCCGTCAAAAGTTTTAGTCTGTCAATGAGCGTTCACACTTTGTTATCCCCAATTCCCACATATTAGTTGGAGCAGGAAGCATCTGCTATCAATGAGTATTTTATCTTAACAATAAGATATTGTTCTATAAATTATAATAAATTAAATAATTAATAAAAAGAAATATGAATAATTAATGAAATTAAATTCTTATTATATCATGTTATTAAATTTTTATATCTAATGGTAAACACTGATAAAAATATAACCATTAAAAACTTATCGATATACTATATCATCGTTTAACAAATTTTCTGAAATAGACAGTTTACCAACAAAGAGGCCCCAAAATTATATATTCTAGAAACGTAAAAGTTTTTTTTAGGTGAAAATAATACAAGTGCATATTTGTAGGTGAAAAGAACCCTTTAAAATAAACCAATTTGTTTTTTTTTTCCTTTAAAGAGATTTCCAATCACGTACATATGATAATTAAGAATAGTAAGTAGAAAAAGATATATTTACACGTCTACTGCTACGTCAAGAAAGGGCAACAACAATTAAATATACATGTAATGTACACACAAAACACATTGACATTTTACCACAATTATATATACATGTAACCACAATTAAATATACATGTAATGTGCACACAAAACACATTGAGATTTTACCACAATTAAATATAAATGTAATGCGCATATAAAACACATTGAGATTTTATATATTATAACTACTCATATACGCATTTAAATAAAAGAGTTCTCAATGGTTACTGATAACCATTTTATTAGTGCCACGCATCAAATATAAAAATTTAATAACATTATGTGAAAATTTTTATCAATTATATAATTTATTACAACTATCGAATATAATTTATTACAACTATCAAATTAATATCTTATCGCATTAATAAATAAATATTAAAATAACCATTACGCTATATTTATATATATAATTAACATAAAAAAACAAACAATGACGGTTGAAATTAACTAGTGCTTCCGACAAAGTAAAGTTTATTTTTATAAAGCCCCACATTTCCTATGCATATATCCAAGCCTCTATGTTTGTGCTGAGAATGTCATAACTTAAGTTTGAATTACTTATTTAGCATATTAAACATGCATGTACGCATGTGCGCGGGCGCACACACACAATATATACATATATATATATATATATATATAATTTGTATTACACCCTTTACATAAGCTTCCAAGGACTATAATATTTAAATTAATCACTCAAAAGAAATTATATCACTTATATATTATAATTAACACACGCGGATACAAATATGTAAACTGTCTTTTCTCTACTTTGCTTTTCCCTATTTGATTGAGTTAGCTTCATGAAGATATCATAGCAAGAAAGAGGCGTCGCCGATATATATTAATTGCAAATTAAGGAATACTAGGGAGAAATTTGAACTGCTTGCCATTCATCAGGAGAATGCCGAAGTTGACAATGCGGATACATGACACAAAATACTGGATGACTCTTGGTCAAGTCGAAGGTGTCGAAATTTGACTTTTTAAGGATTTAGACTTTCATCTTAAAAAGTCAACCCCTCACCTTCTTCAGTCCTACCTAAATGACATCCCCGTCTTGATAATAACTTTCTTGATAAGCTGAATCTGAAGCAACTCTGTGGTTAAATCGCGTTTCCCTCCAAGATCTTGAAATCTAATCAAGCCAAACTGTCTATTGCAATTTGCAAATCCCTTTTATGAAGTGACGCAAAGACAAAATTTTGACTCATAGATTGGTGATAAAAAATCGTGCAACTCAACATCCAAATTAAATCATTACGCGGACCAACAAATCAAAATTGTCAGCTTCAAAAATATTTGGAAAATTTGCATCAACTAATACTGTTGGGAAAAAGGGGGGGAAAACAAAGTAAAACCAAAAACTTTGGGCACACAAGGAAATGAGATTTGAGAAAATACATTGAATTTGCAAATGATTAATTTAAATGAGGAAAACAAAGTAAAACCAAAAACTTTGGGCACACAAGGCAATGAGATTTGAGAAAATACATTGAATTTGCAAATGATTAATTTAAATGAATAGGATATTCACTACATTTGCTTTCCGGGTTGAGTTTTTGATGGGGGATATATATATATATATATAAAAGGTCAAAACGAGTATTATGCATGGCTTATCTATAGCAGGATAAGTTTTTTAAATTTTTTTAAACATAAGTGTAAGTTACGTGGGGACATTTATAAATTTAGTGGTGCCAAATATAACCACTCTAAAAAGCTCACTCATATGGATCACATAAGCAAGCTCCTGACCAAAAAAAAAAAAAAAAAGCAAAACGGGGAGATGATCCCTAATAAAATATATAGATTCTATATCTCCCTAACACAATCACACAAAGTCAACTCATACTGGGTCCTTTCATTCTTTGTTTTCCACGCACCCCCATTTAGTTGGTGCTGCGAAGGTATTAATCAAGCGCACAATTGGAAAATTTTTCATAAAGCATGTTGTTGGCAACAGTTAAATACCTGAAAAGGAGGGAGCAGCTGCAAGACTTGACCTCCTCAAATGGATAGAAGCTTTTGCTTTTGTACGAAACCCTGTATATAAATCACATGGCATATAATTCCCAACATTTTTGGAGTAACTCTGCCAATATCTTGAACATGTAGACATCATTACCACTTCCCCGCTTAAACAATGACGTGATAGTTATTCAAATTGCGTTATGTTGTAGTGATGGCAAATGATGACAGAGAAGCAAAAGACAACGTGATCAATGGTGTGTTATAAGCCCCATGCCATGAAATGAAACTCAAGATCGCCTTCTCATGACTAGTTGGTGGAAGGAATTTAATCAGCTCTAACGCATGATGATATGAAACACAACAAGATGTATATTTAGATAGACAATCCTAATGTCGATGTACATAAAGTTAATATGAGAAAGAAAGCACTCATATCCACCAAATCTGCAGACTCATGCACCACTTTCCCTATAAATGATAACAATAGTTGAGCCACTAATGTCCAGGCGTTAACAAAGTACTGACAAATGCATGTCTTGAGTAAGTTAGTATAACATGGCCAAATGTTATGTCGATGATGCCACTACGTGCATTCTTTCACATTAGAAATGTTTATGGTGATGGCTTGATATGAAATGGATGCATGCAACAGCTGCAAGATGCATCCTATCATGTAGTAGTTGTATTTCGGAGCATAAGGAACAGAGTACATCCCCTTCAAGCTACTGGTATGTCAAAGCCGGTGGAGTTCCATTGGCACCAGGTGCAGCAACTGGGTGGCCACCATCCTTCCTTTTCCCAAACGGATTTTTTGAATATGTATTCAGAAGTCAAGGAGAACCACCAAAAAAATGCTGATAACAGATCCTACCATGATAGAAATTGAAAATCTAATTGCTTCAGTTCAATCAAACAGCAAATCACATCCATTGTGAAGGGGTCACCAGAACAAAAAAAACACCAAAGCAAAACCGACAGAACAAACTGACACCAAACATACAAAAGAAAATATGCCATCAAGTTGTTATTACCTGTCTTTGCTCACTGCAAACTAATGAAGCCCATCGGATGCCTGAATATCTTATTAGATCAGTATGGTTTGTTTAAACAGACAAATAGGTTTCTTTGAGTTGCAATTTTTCCATATGACAAGTTAGCAACTAAGTTAGTTTTTGGAGTCTTAGTTTTATTTTTATTTTCCTGCCAACATTAAGAACCCAAAAGCAATCAACATCCTATAATTTAAAGTAAAAACATAACAAGGACATGTGTACATCCCTATAGCAAGTTTAGTTAAACATTTCGGACTCATCATCATAAGCTATTTGATGACTGTAGAAAAAAGCAAAAGACCCAGAAAACCAGAAACTTTAGATGGCACGGCAATAAAGAACATTTTCCATCTAATTTCGTGAGAAGGCAATTCAGATGTTTGTCAACTTGCCAAGAAAAGACCATAACCTATCAGCAAAAATATAAAAAAATTACAAATTATTATTTAAGAATCCTTTTATTTAAAAAAAAAAAAAAAAAAGAAAAAAAAAAGAAAGAGAGAGCTATCCAAGATGACCAAATCTAGAAAACATTAAAAATGGCACACAAATGCCATGACGCTGGAATCAAATGAACTCATAAAACTATGACAAGTATTGAAAGTTGTCCAGTCTGGGATTTACAGTGGTGTTGCAGGGCCAACTATCAGATGCTGATAAGCGCAGAAATACTTTTTTTTTTAATGATAAGAAACGGCCAACTTCTACTAATAATAAAAAAGAAAACAAATCAAAAGGGGACAAGCGGTCCACCAAGGAAAACACAAAAAGCAGCAAACAATAGAAACAAGCCTTAAGACCTGCGTGTTAATAAGCGTGGAGCTACTAGACATCATTGCATGGTAAATAAATGAATAAATGGCTAAAAAAACTTGATAGAATGCATGACTAAAACATGAGATGCACAACATCATTGGATGGTAAATAAATAAATAAATGGCTAAAAAAACTTGATAGAATATATGACTAAAACATGAGATGCACAACAAAATGGCTATAGGATATTGTATTCTCATGCCTACAGAGCCTGAACTGGGAATCACAGCACCCTGCAAACTATGGTGTACGTTCGAGGCACTGTTCACATCCTGCCAGGGAGATGCAAGTTATATTGTTTAGCAAAAGTAAGTGGTAGAAAGATGAATATGGAACTTGAACACCAAAGCTTGGAAGCAGTTAATTAAATTTACTTCAAACTCGATGAAACAAACAGTATGCCGCTCCTGTCTCAAGATCTTCATTTGCTTAAAACCTGGTTGTCTGTAAAACCAAATATTATAAAACAAAACCAAATATTATAAAACAAAACCAAACATTATGAATCAAGTCTTTAAGTGATACGCAGATAAAATAGCAGGTATAAAAACGACTCCCATACACGCTGAACAAGCCTCTTAGTTCTTCCTCGTTAATGTTCTCTCCCAAATTGCCAATAAATAGAGTATTGCATGGTGGATTATCTTTTGTGTTCTGTAGAAATAAGTGAACAATCAAAGGATAAGAGAATTTCATCCTCAAGGAACACCTAGAAAATATGATTGAAAGAAACAAAGAAAGTACAGCAATCACAAAGAAAATTAAGAAACATCAAATGTAACAAGAAAGAGAGAATATGACATCTTAAAACCCATCAATTTATCATTTGGCTGACAATATGAGTAAATAGAAAGAAACAAGGAGATGCCCCTTATAGTCCACTTCACTCAGAAATCCATCTTCCCCCTGAAGCTAGATTACGGATGTTCTAAGTTTTCCTTTTAAATGTAAAGCTGCAAAGGATTTGCCCATCATCTACTTGCTCAAGGAGCAGAATTAATAGGTAAAGCTGAAAATTTCCTTGTTCAATTGACTTTGAATTATACAACAAAATTCAGACAAAAAGAAATTAAGGGGAAAACACGGGAGGGGGGGAAGAAGAAGAATTAATAGGTAAAGCTGTAAATTTGCTTGTTCAATTGACTTTGAATTATACAACAAAATTCAAACAAAAAGATATTAAGGGGAAAACACCATTCAGATTTAAATATGACCATGCTATGTCATCTTTGAGCTGCAATGCTGTCTCAGATTTTTTTTTAAAAAGAAAAAAGAAAAAAGGGAAAAAAAACAACATAAAGATAAACACAGGCCATTTTTCAATCCGCAGGGAAACTTGTGGAAGACTCAGATTTGCTACACAAAAGCAGCACATGCTGCAAGAGTTCATTAACAAGCTTGAAATTTATGAAATGGGGTTTCTTATACAAGGGGTATAACAAAGACAAGTTTTGTTTAAACAATCTTCACTCTTTAAACATTTGAACAATTTACTTTAGAGAGTGATAAAATAAAACTATACTCAGGATATGCGTTTGTAGTTTAATATCAGGAACCTTCAGAAGACCAGACACAAGCTGGATCCTTTTCTCTTTTCTTGAAGGGAAATTGACAATCATTTTCTTAATAATAGAAAAATATAAATAAATAAAGGGAATAAAAGAGTAAAATACAGAACAAGAAAGTGATAATCTGGTCGTTTCTAAAATATCAAGGAAACCTCATCCTACCCTCCTTTATCACGCCCCAGCAATTCTGAAAAAATTATCAATGAGGAATCATCCACTAAAAAAAAGAAAAAAGACATGAAAACAAACAACAACATTGTCTGCATCCTTCCACAAACACTCTCACATCTTCCATGTGAAGCTTCAAGATAACATTCTTCATGCTTTCTATCTCTGATGAAGGTAGCAACACAATGAAATATGGCCAGTTCACAACCAGGTAAGGGGAACCATGAAAAAATGCTACAACTGTGTTATTTATTTTCTGGTGTAAAGAAGCAACACTTCATTAACACAGAAAGAACAATGGAGTAAAAAGCACGGAGGACAGGAAGTCCACCTGAATAAAAAAATCGTGAAAATTGACAATGAAGTAGAAAGCAAGTTGTAAACTTTGTTCTACATTTTAAGATACTTAACATGTAAGATTGTATCCCATTAGCGTATGTAAGCTATCTCAAATCCTCTTGGTTCTTATAACCCTTTGATTTAATCTTATTTTTATTTCCAAGCTATAGGCCAAATCCCACTTTCATCCTTGACTTTTAAAACGTCTCAAAATGAGTCCTAATCTATCAAGTTATCTCAAATTAGTCCCTTTTGTCCAGTCAATTGTTAAAACCTCGACGAAAAAAGCCGCGTGGGACTATGTGCGGTTCCATTGAAGTTAATTTTGTAATTTTAGTAAGGGCATGTTGTTTGATCAGGAACTCATTCTAAGACGTTTTAAAAGTCAAGGATCAAAATTTGATATGGCCAATCGTTGTTCAAGGTCTTAAAATAAGATTAACCCTAAACCTTTTATAAAAACTAAAATAAAAAATCCTTTGCAGCCCCAAAAAACATTGTTAGTACGGAATAACAATCCTCTAGTTCCTCCACTTGAAACTTTAACCCCCAAAAAAAACTTATCTTGTTTTCCCTTTTTTTTTTTCCTGTTTTTACTAATATGGTGTCAGAGCAATCCGTCTATGTTTCCTTTTAAAATTCCTCCCTTTGCCCTCTTTATGGCCTCCTTTTACAGTAATCCATTACCAGCGTGCACCCCTCAAGTCGATGGAAATAAGAAACTAGCAGGCAGCTTCATTTTCCTAGAAAATTATCTCAGACATGCATGTTCTAGTAGCATTCTGCTTAAGCATCAGATAACAACAAAAAGGCCCGCTAAGGCAAGGGAACTCTATATTAAGAACTTAAAATAACATTACTTCTATAGAGCTCAATAAAACTTTATTTGCTGCACCTTTTCACATTTTCGGCATAACAACAAAAAGGCCCACCAAGGCAAGGGAACTCTTTATTAAGAACTCGTGAAATAACATTACTTATATAATGCTCAATGAAAATAAAGTTGCCCACCTTTTCACATTTTCTGCATACCCTTGATTTATTTAAATTTCCAGATCTTTCATCATTTTAACATCTGACATTTTCTTTAACATGTTTAATTACAAAATCCCAACTTTCTTTTCCTATCCCAAGCAATTTATTCAAACAGCCCAAACCTCACCCAATATATACATATGATGGATGTATCTGCACATAGACACACAAACTTTTTTCCTAATAAGCCCTATTTATTGAAATGAAAAGAAAAGAAAAAACACGTCTGAAAATGTAGTTTCTGGTTTTCTTTTGGGAAGGAAGTTGAGGCAGGAAGGAAACAGATAACAATAGTTTAATCCCTGTGTCCATGTTTATTGACCTCCTAACTCAAAGTAAGACGATTGCTATGCCCTATTTAAATAGGTTTGTAATACCTTGCCCAACATGCTTTTCTTTGTTTATCCTAAATTATACTGGAAAGCTGAAGATGGATTTTCATACATGTAGTGTAAACAGCATTCCATATATGATGGCTTAGGATAGCTGTTATTTAACTATTGCAATAATAAAATAGTAGAATTAAAATTCCAGTCAGTATAGAGTGCCCAAACAGACTCAACTGAAAATAAAAGAGTAAATAATTGTCTTATTGCTATGTGATCACAGCAGTGTGATATGTAATTGAGCTACAACTCCAGAAGACACGTTGTACATAACAAAATACATGAAAGCAGATGAAAAACATGCCCCGAGACAGAAAAATCCTTCTTAAAAAACAGTTATGAAAGCACAACTATAGAACAGAGGGTTACCTGAACAGGTACATAACTGCTAGGTGCTGGTACAGGTGCAGGGCCTGGCATTGGCATTGGAGGAACAGGATAGCCTCCATATGGATCATAAGGAGGAGGAGGTGGAGCCATAAACCTGCGCCACACAAGCATCATTAATGACATTTTACTAACAAGATATCAACAGCATTCTTTTCCAGATCAAATGCCTGATTTTTCACAAATTCAAAAAAAAAAAAAAATCTTGGAAGATAATTAGACAAGAAAGTTTTACCCATGGTGTCCCCAAACAGGTGGTGGGGGTGGATGAAAAGGAGATGGACTTGAGTAACCAGCATGTGAGTAGTCACCAACAGTTCGCATGCGCTTACTCGGATCATAAGCATTTGAATCGGCCACTATTCCTACAGATCAGCTAACATCAGCACTCTGTGTGAAGGATAATTGGAAGATGCAACTCCCAATTCTACAGCAATTCTAAACAACTGGAAATAATATTCATCTACAACTTAAAGTACTTAAGCCGCCCTAATACTAAGTACTATTTCATTTGTGCCTCTCGTATTAAACCTGCAGATCTTGGTGCTATGTCCAAATTATCTACATTTCATCAACAAAAATGAATAAAGTAAGCAAACAGATGGAAAAGGGCCTTGAACATAAGCACCCAAAAAAGGAGGGTCAAAAATCAACTTCAAGCATACAAAATCCACACCAGAGAGAGAAAGAGAGAGAGAGAGAGAGAGAGAGAGAAGCTAAATTCAAGCGACCAAGAAAGTAAGAGGTCTCTTACTTCATTTTCAGTTCTATCAAATACCAATGCCAGCAAAGGGTTTTCTTGTACTGTGCAAGTATAAAATTAGAGCAAAAACTGCTGAACTTACCCTTAGGAGTATATAGGTATGGATTTTTACCCTTTACTCTTGATTAATACCCTTCTAACTAATATAGTTATTTGACTAAAAAGGATATTAAGCAAAAGTAAGGAGTAAAAATCTAGACCCTTGTATTCTAAAGGGTATTTGTCTCCTTCTTCCCAAATTCGAACATGATGTACAGAAATGGCGTTCAATGTAGTTATATAGTATATATCAAATGCCTTGACGAAATAAATAGATATTCGCACATTTTTCATGATGCTAGATCTATAATCTATGATTGAAATAAATACCAAGTGTTATATGGAAAAATTCCACACTCCACGTCAGCCGTTAGATGGTTGCCACGTGGACGCTCGCCACGTGGCATTACAAGTATTAAATGGCCAGGCCAGTAGATTGCATGGGATCGTATCCTCTTAGAGACACCAACTCTAGACGCCAACCGTAAATACGAGATAAAACCCAAAAGAGGGCGACCACATTAGAGAGTGCATCACACGGTCGACCTTATTCTCCTCTCAAGAGCGAAGACCGCTTCACGGAGTACTAAGGCGCCGACCGCACCTACGTTCGCACAACGTGGCAGCTTTTCAGACATGTGGCAGGTATTAAATGCATGCAGAGTTAGTGGATAACGTAGGAGACCAGCCAACATCTCAATCACCAGAGGGTACTATTTTGAGGAGTAGCAAGACCGGCTCAAAGTACGGCCCAAGGAGCTGGGCGGGAAACAAATATGATTGTATATATGAAGAGGAAAGGTAGAGAGGCGTTGGACTCCCTCCTAAGAAAAAAAAATCACTTAATATCTTTGTATCTCTCTCACTCTCAAGGGGAAGAGCATTGTAATGCCTTTCCAGAGGGCACCCTCTGGAAGATTGTAATTTCTCCTAAAACGATTAGTGAAAAATACTCACACAGTGGACGTAGCCTAGCATTTGGATGAACCACTATAAATTCCGGTATTCTTTTCCTCTTTTTAACTCTAGATTATACTCTAAATCCACGTATTAACATCAAAGATTTATCATCACTCTGTTGACGAATTTTTACCGTCAACCCCAAGGATTTTCATTTCAACCAAAAACAACAAAATTTAACGAAACAAATAGAAAACAATTGAAGTCCAATTCTGCTCACCTCTTTTAACGAAAAGATTTTTCTTGGCCATCTCAGTGTGCAGAACCGACTTCGAGTCCGCATCAAAGACCATGTTCTGAGGAAGAAGGATCCAAAAATTCAATAAGAAAATGAAAACGCTTTTGATCAAAACCAATTTGCTTCCAACTACAAACATTTAAAAAAAAAAATGCTGAACCTGAAGGGTCTCTTTAGCAGCAAGAGCCTGATGACCAGTTGCGAAGAGAGCGAAACCCATGGGCTTTTCGCCTTTTAGGTTTACTTGGGAAGCCTCGTATCCCGGTAGCCATCTCAAGAGATTCTGAAGCTCCCTCTCTTTCACGTCCTCGGGAAGGCCCGTAATGAAGATCGTCCGAACCTGTATCGGAAACAAAAGAAAAATGAGAATCAGAGATCGATCCATGGTCTGAGGTTTGGTTTGAGGGAAGGAGAAATAATAAAATACCTCATCGGCGGCGGGGCGGTTAGGGTTGTCGACGAGGATGGGAGGAGGAGCTGCGGCGGCGGGAGGAGGAGGAGGGGGTGCAGCCGGAGGCCATTGCTGGTGGTACGGGTGGATTCCGGCACCGGCCATCTCACCAAAATGGAAATTAGATAGATAGATAGATAGATTTATGTTTTGTGGTGTGGCTAATGGCTATGGAGAATGGAGATGGCGTTGGGAGCGAGAAACCCAGGAAATGGAAGAGTGAGGAATGTGGCTTTGCTCGGACTGACTGCGTATTTCTATTAGATTTAAGATAGATAATAATGCGGTCCTGAATTTGCCTGACCCAAGAAACAGTGAGAGAAATTTGTTAGAAAAGAATTTTATTATTTAATTTTTTAGTTAAATCATATGTAAAGCAACATTTTAATATATATTTGAAAGGGTGGTCTTAATAATTTTAAAATTTTAATCATCTAAGGGTTTTAAAAAATATATATTGAAAAATTCTCAAAATAATTGCAGTAGTGGTTTGAATGGAATATTTATTCACTTTAGGGTTTAAAAAAATGAAAAACTCTCAAAATAATTGTAGTATTTTTTTAGAACAAAATAATTGCAGTATATTGGTTTGAATGGAGTATTTATTTGAACATTTTTAAAACTTTATTATTTAACTTTTTAGTTAAATTATATGTGAAGTAACATTATATAGAATGAAAATGGTAACTCTGATATTTTTAAAATTTTAATTATCTCAGGAGTATTTTGAGTTTGTTTTATTTTATTTGTCTTTTTTATGTAAGGTCAGATTTAAAACAGTGATCGGAAGTTCATTGATGAGAATTTTGTGAGTGAAGAAATTTTAAAATTGAAACTCATTATGAGATAAAAAAAATATTGTAACAAAATTATAATTTGAGTTTAAGTATAACTTCCGAATAACCCATAAACACTATACAGGAATAAGCGTGGCGAATTATTTACCGTGGAGATGAATAATGATCGACGCCTAGACTGTGTCCCAAGCATCCAATATGAACTCGTTGTGATAAAGAAAAACTTAAACCAAATGCTTACAATTCAACTGATTTCACTTGGATAACTCCAAGCCACAAAGCCTCCCATCCATTGGGGAATAGTAAAATCACTCGTACAAATACATGGAACACTTGAACAAACAAAAATATGTCACGTACCCTTTGCCTTACTTTGGCATACAAAGCCATGACACGGACGGTTCTAGTTACCGCTTTATTCATTGGAACTAAATCCAACAATTTTTTTTTTTTTTTTTAAAGTTTTATATATGTGACATCCTTAAACCTTTCAACATTTTTTTAGTTTTAATTAATCCTCTATAGCTTAAGGAAGACAAACTCTTCAATAGCGGGAACTTGTCCTATTTTGGTTAAGGTTTCCTTGTTTGGCTCCTCATCCACACCAATTGCCATAATTGCCTTTTTCCTCTGCGCAGTTCTTCCCACACTCATGAAGCTCACATTCACATTCTGCTCCCCAAGAATGTTGCCAACTCGGCCAATCATGCCCGGTTGGTCCACTTGTCTGCACAATATGAGATTCCCTTCAAGGCTCACATCAACGCTAAAACCTCCCACACATCTCAAGTAAGGCACACCATATTTGACCTTCCCTTCAATGCTTATGTCTCCGGTCTCCGAAACCGAGCTTGCGAATTTAGACTCGACGCCTGAGATTTGTACCTCAATCGAGTCGACGGGGAACTCCGGTGACGCGTCGACCACCACCCGCTCTTCGCTTATGCGGAGTCCTTTTTGCTTGGCGGTGAAATCTGCATTGACCAAATTGATGATTGAGGCAGAAATGGGCTCGATAATACCCTTGGTGATCATGGCGCGGAGAAGCCTGGTGTCTAAGTCATCCGGGTCTCGGGCTGTTTTGTAGACAACCTTCACGGATTTGATTCCGCTTCCTCCAGCTACCAATTGCACTCCTAACTTACCTAGCTTCTCTGCTAGAGTTACATATGGAGCTAACTCGGACAGAACCTAAGAGCATGATCTATGTGTAAGTTATTTTCGACCAAAAAAAAATAATAATAACTAAACATGAAAGATAAGAAAAGGGAAGGGACATTAGAGAGTCTTAGGTGAATTCACATGGTGCATGATGAAACAACTTTGCATTGTGCAGTTAGATTGCTGTACAGTTTTGGACTAGTATTACTATTGGTGCTTAAGTGGGGAAATTGAGGTCTCGTTTATTTCGTTAATTTGAATTACAAATCAAGTTTTTGTTATAATATTTTTTCTCACAAAAATTCAAATTCAACTTTTTATATTACAATGTTTTCTCTCACGTAAATTCACTTTTCAATCCGAATTAAAAACTCAAATTAGTGAAATGAATTAGGCCTTAAAGCATCTATTCAAGCATATAGTTTTTTTTTTTCTTTTAGTAGGACACTACTATAATATTCTTAATTTATAGAGGACGCAATTATAATTTCCCGAAAACTTATATTGAATGAATGAAAAAAAAAAAAAATCTAGTACTCAAGCTCCTCAAATAATAAGTCTTTGAATTTTTCAAATTTTCAAGGAGAGCAACTAAAAGGGCCAATATAAGACCCGACGGAGAGCCTAACTCACCTCAGGTGGGACCATCGGTGCGTTGACTGCAGTGGCAGAAAGTTCACCTTTTAGAGCTCCAACTACAGCTTCAGCTATTTCAATGGCTACGCCTTCCTGAAATATGTATATGCGATTCATAGGGAAGGTTCAGAAGATAATTTGAAAAAAAAAAAAAAAAATGGTAGTACACCATGTATAAGTTTTTTTCTGTATCTGAGAAATTTTAAATTGACTAGTGAAACAGACCTGTGCTTCTTTTGTGCTAGCTCCAAGATGAGGAGTGACAATGACATTCTCATGTTGCACTAGCTTGCTGTCTTTAGGTGGAGGCTCCTCTGTGAATACATCAAGTGCTGCCTGTTTCATTAATGACAAGAGTCTTGGTGAAAGGAATATCATTTCATGATAACAAGGTCAAGAAAAAGATAAACATAAGCTTAAAGAACTAGCATAATGGATTTTGAATTAACAACGCTGTGTCGTTGAATTTTATTGAACTTCACAAATAATTCATTGAATGATTTTAAGAATTTGTTACTTCATAAATTTGAATAAATAAGTTCTCGTTGTAGCTTTTTCTTTCATAAAAATCTAAACGCATTTGAATTTATGTTTAGTTTTTCTGTTCAATCTTTTTGTTCGAATTTATGAACTAAATAGTCATTTTAATATTCACTCGCTAGTAAGATGGGAAAATAAAAGAGAAGATTTATTGTAATTTGCATACATACCTGAGCAACAACTCCGGTATCAAGGGCCCTAACCAAAGCATCTTCATCAATAACGCCACCCCTAGCAACATTAACAATGCGAACACCCTTTTTCATCTTTGCAAACGTCTCATCATTGAAGAGCTTTGACGTCGCGGGAGTGAGCGGCATGTGCAGAGATATGAAGTCAGCCGTGGCAATGGCCTGCTCAAACGGCACCAATTCCACCCCGACGCCACGCGCTCTGTCCGCAGCCGCATAGGGGTCATGCGCAATTACGTGCATTCCAAGCCCCTTGGCGCGCCTGGCTACTTCCGATCCCACTTTTCCAAACCCCATGACTGCTAACGTCTTTCCAACTAAGGACACACCAACATACTTGTTTCTTTGCCATTTTCCTGCACAAGAGTTAAGTACTCTAGTTGGAAACTGTAAGGAATTAATGGCGAGTCATTCTAATACTATATTGTGCAGTAGAAAGACGAAAGCTGAAAAAAAATTGATTTAAACTTCTCAATCACCACTCATTTGGCAAAAAGGTTACTAGTTTCTGCGTCCATGAACTTCACTGCCGACTGATCTCTGAATTAAAATTCTTGGGAATTAAACTTTTTTTTTCTTTTAATTTGGATGAAGTGCATTTGAAAATAATTAACTTTTACGAACTGAATTATGTGACATATGATAGGTTATATCTAGTATTTATTAATATAAAAATGGTATCTATTAATATAAAATGTCGAAGTATTTTAGCAACTAGCTTGAGTATATTTAAGTTTGATAAACTTTTTTGATATTGACATCTTCATGTGGACATAAGTTACTATGCATTCCCAATTTTAACTTAAACCAAAATTAAGGGGCTGATCATAAGTGCTGACACAATATTTAGTAACCTTGAAAGTAACGGTGTCACTTATTCCTTTTTTTTTTTTTTTTGGAGAGTAACAACTTGGAAACCACAACCAGAATTGTAAGGACACAATATTTAGTAACCTTGAAAGTAATGGTGTCACTTATTCCTTTTTTTTTTTTTTTTTGGAGAGTAACAACTTGGAAACCACAACCAGAATTCATGTCACAATCATTTCATAAAAAAATAATAATAATAACAATCAATAGTTGCAAAAATAAAAGTATATGAGGAATATGCATATTGATTATGAATCACGATCACTATTGTTCACTGAGGCATTTCTGAGAAGCACGCTCCACAAAAGTGCTATTTATCTTTTGCTTAGGGCCTACTTGAGAGAGTTTTTTAAAAGCTGTTTTTGGCTTTCTAGGTCTAAAAATTACTTCTAAAAATGTTTAGATGATCTATTAGAAGTGTTTTGACTTTTCAGAAGAGTTTTCAATCAAAGTTAAAAATTGTGGCTTCTAAAAAAAATAATTCTGAATAGACTTTGAAACTTATACCATAATTTAATTAAAGCATTATAAACTTAATTCCAACACTTTTATTGCTTATTAAAAAATTTAAAAATTATTTTAACTCATTAAGTTATTTATTCCAAACACTTACTAAAAAGTAACCGCTTTTACTTTTCTTTTTAAATATCTAAAATTAAAAGTAAAAACTTTACTAAACAGACCCTTATTTTATCGTTTATATGTGTGTGTACATTTATATATAGACACGCACACGATCTAAAGATCTTGGTAACTAGAAGAAACGTAGTAAGCAAAATATCCATCCTATAAATAAAAGGGCCAGGATTATGCAATAATATAATTCTCTCTCTAACTCTTTAAGTTTATTTTTTTCTTTTTCTTTTTTGTCTTTTACCCTTTTCGTCACATAGGAGTGAATAAGTCAATGTATTAATGAAACCAAAACATAATATTCTGACCAAACCTAACAAACAATCAATTAATAAGTAGATCTCTAGTTTCAAACATGATGTGTATATATGTATCGTGCCTTTGATGCAATTGCATACTTCTTTGATAACAAAAATTGGAGCAGCCATCGACAAATCTATAATACCGAAAATAGGCTTCACCAAAGGCTAAGTTATCATAAGAAGAGACAAAGGCCACTCTTTTGTCAAACTATTTAACAAAATAGAGATATTAGTAGCACTCTCTTAGTCATTTTTTTTATTACTTTTTACATTTATTATTTAACCTATAGTAAAGTTTATGAGTTAAAAAATAAATGTAAAAAGTGACTAAAGAATGATGATATTAGTATTTCTTTCAATATAAATATTGGAGAACAAAATTGTGATAAAATATTTTAGTCAATTATTGGATATGAAAACAATATACATGTTCCTTTCAAAAGAAAAAAGAAAAGAAAGCAATATATGCCACAGCCACATACATGCCTAGGCATGTTAAGTGTGAATATACCGGTGCGAAAGCATCCAATCACGCTTGGCCTAGGAAAACGACACATGAGAAACACATAAATTCATCCCACCCACCCCTGAAAATTGGAAACAAATTGCAGCCACAAACTCGATTCAGCCAAAACAAAAAAACAAAAAAAACAAAAAACTGCAAACATCAAACTCTGACCCCCCACAAAGACAAAGCCACGAGCTCAACGTTTTTTAATTCACACCATCAATTAGTCGTAAGATGCGTCTGCGATATTTCTTTTCTTTTCTTGCTTTTCAAATTATGTTTGTTTTTTATATTCGTCTTTAATTTTAAATTATGATTAATAATTCTTTATAATATTTTTTTTTATAAAAAATACACATAAAATGAGAATAATTTTGAATCATGATTCTGAATACATAAATCAAACGTCACCTAATTGATCCAAACAGATTTTTTCTCAGAAGAAATTGTTTACTTCTTGAAAAATATCCGAACAGAAAAAATTATTATCAAAAAAATTGGATACAATATAAAAAATATCCAAAATATAGGTTTTTTTTAGAAACTCAAAATAAAGGATATAAAAATATAAACATCTTTTTTTAGCAAAAGTTTACAAGAAATGCAATCTATGGTCCCGTTCATTTTATCGATTCGAGTTTAAAATTTAAATTTTACTACAATAAAAATTTCTTAAAAACAGTCACATCTAATTTTTTTATTACGATAAAAAATTCTTACATAAAGTCACATCTCAACTCAAATTAAAAACTCAAATCAGTAAATTAAATGGACTCTATATATTGTGTTGGAGAGTTTAAGCATAGAGAATGGATTGCACAAACAAGCACCATATACTGAAATGCAATTTATAACCTGAAGGGTAGCACAAACCCACTGCAGCGCGCAGCGCCTATAGCTGCACTGACAGCACCATTTGGTGTTGTTCGCTGCAGTGCTTGTTTTGTTTTTTAACAGCCATTTTTTTTTGTTTTTAACTGCCCAAACACGTGTAATTATGATCTAGATATATTATAATCTCTCTAACATATTATATGTTAAGTAACAATTAGATTAATTATTCCAAAAAAGATAAATATATATATATCAAATACACAAAATCTCTTGGTATCATCTATCATGCCTGATAGTCTGGATCGCATCTTGCGGACCCTACGTCTAATTCCTGAATAAAAACAAACATTTGAAGAATTTCTTTAATGAAAATTTAGTATATGAAAAAACCCCCCGCCTAGTTTAAAAACAAAAAAAAAGTACCCACCTACCACCATTTGATTTATATCTCATTTTATTAAGAAAAAATAAATAAATACTCCATAAAGTACATAAAATCTATATTTTTATCTTTTATTATTAATCAATAATCTTTTTATTCAAATAACTATATAAATCAAAATAATATTAATTAAAAATAAAAGATAAAAATTTAGACTCATATTCCTCTAATTTTCTCGTTGGTGAGTTATTGTTGCGTATCTTTTCATTTTGATTTGAACTTGATGAGATTAATGTTCACAAACCCCGCACTAGTCGAGATAATTGATTAGTGAATTTTTCTTTTAAATAAAGTAAAATCCGATAAACGAAATTAAAATAAATTAAATGGCGCACTATTTGCCAAAAGCAATTTTTAATAGATCAATCTGTTGCTCGACAATTTCCCCTAAAAAATGGGAAACTATTACCCTAGGCAAAATAAATAAATACAGAATCTGTTTAGTTTGTTAATTTAAGTTTTTAATTTGAATTGAGATGTGATTTTATGTGAATTTTTTATTATAATAAAAAAATTAAATGTGACTGTTTCTAAGAACTTTTTA